AAGTTTATAAAGTTTAAGTTCCATGAAAAATTCAGCAAGTGGTATCAAAGTCAATCTATATTAAAACATTGCGATTAAAAAAAGAATTTTAGGTAGAAATTCATAATTAGGTTTTCAAAATTTTGGGATGTGAATCTCAAACCCTTTCAAAAATATGGACTTTTGGATAAATTTTTTGGTATTATAGCAGCACGGTGGCGCTTTGGCCGAATTACATGCACATATATGGTAATAAATATGTAACAATTGTAAATTTTTTATGAGAACAACAAATCGGTCCAAAGATAAGTTTATTATTTGACATAATTTATTGTCAATATATGATTACTACACTAAGAGTATCACTTACAAATTTGTATATCTGTCCAAAGACTAAATATCAATATTGAGTTCGGTCTCTTGTGATGTGGTTTACCATTATTTGAATTAATTAATTGTTTAATACGTATTCTAATGTGAACATATTTATTTGGCTTTATTCTCTATTCAGTTAACTCTTCCGTTTCTACAATATCTGCAAATATCAATTCTATTCCCTTGCTAAATGGAACCAACTTTAAGGACTGGAAAGAGAACATTCAGATCATTCTTAGTTGCATGGATTTAGACCTTGTGTTAATGATTGAACAACCCATTGTACTTACAGATAAAAGTTTCGATAATGGAAATGGGACTTTGATAAGTAGGATCGTTCAAACTACATGAGTCTTATGATCATGAAGCGTGATATTATAGAATCATTCAAAGGCGCTTTGATGCGAACCTCGTAGCAACAGTGGATTGATGCGGAACCCAAGAATGCCATTAAACCCGATTTTGGATTTGAACCCAACAAAGTGAAACAAAAAACACAACGATAACAACGATGCGTTGAACCCCTTGATTACACAATGAAGAACCCACGATCCGATATTTGAACGCCACAAGATTTAGATCTCGATAAGTTCAATTGATTGTTCAATGAAGAACAAGGAAAGCAATAGCCTCTCAATTAATAATTTGTCAAAAGTTTTTTTAATACAATGAAAGTTTTTGGTATTTATATCAAACCCTAGAAATTAGGTAAAAATATGCATAATCTCATAAATATGATAGAAGATTGACTAAATATAGAATTCTAGTAAAATAAGGAAATTCGCGAAAAAATAAAAATTTTCCCCAGATGTTGGGCGTGGAGGCGCCATGTTGGGCGAGGGGGGCACCAATACCCCCTGTAAATGTTGGGCACGGGGGTGCTACTACCCCATGTTTTCCAGGTTCAGCTGCTTGAATCAAGCTCATCCATCTCAATTCTGGCATCGACCCCAACATGGAACTTGCTCCAATCTTCGTCATGATCGCCATATCATCAACCTAACTTGATCAAGCAATGATATCGCTTCTTTCACCTGCTTTACCCTCGATCGAGTCATCGGGACTTGCCCTTGTCTCGATGGCACCTGGATCATATCACGCTGTGTCTGATAATGTAATTACTGCTAAGGAATTTCTTGATAAAATTGAAAAACGCTTTGCAAAAGCAATAAAACCAAAACTAGTACTATTTACCAACTTAGTTTCACTACAGTATAGACGGAAAGGAAATATTCAGGAGTACATTATGGAGATATCTCATATTGCTTCAAAACTAAAGGCACTAAAGCTTGAATTTTCTGATGATTTGCTTGTGCATTTGGTTTTGATATCTCTTCCTGTACAATTGATGCAATTTAAGGTCAGTTATAGCGTTAAAATGAAAAGTTGACTCTAATTGAGCTCATTTTATACTTTGTGCAAGAAGAAGAAATGCTAAGGTAAAAAATGACTGACAATACTCACTGGCTAGTACCTCTAAAGACAAGTTCAAGAAAAGAAAGAATAAAAAAGCTGGACTGGGTTCAGTTCAAAAGAAATAGTAAAAGCCTGGAAAAGATGAATCATCTGACGTTATTTTTGTGGAATCATGTGACACTTGAAAATGGATTGTACCAAATACCACACTTAGTGTATAAAGAAAGGTACGCTTCTCACTTTGGTTTGTTCTGAGATTAATTTAGTTTCATTACCTAAACATACTTGGTGGATTGATTCGGTATCATTACTCATATAAGTGTGTCTATGTAGGGTTGTCTGAACAACTGAAAGGTTCATTTATGCGGGTGACAACAAATCAGTTAAAGTAGAGGCTATGGAAATTTTAGATTATTATTACATAATAGTTTTTATTTGGATTTGTAAGATACTTTTGTGGTGTCGTCTTTTAAACGAAATTTGGTTTTTATTTATGTTTTGGACAAATTTGGTCATTCTTGTTCATTTGGAAACAATAAATTTAGTCTTTTTCTTGATTCAAATCTTGTGGGTACCGATTCTTTATCTGGATACGATAATTCATATTTGTTTAATTCGGTTGCCTCTTATAATGAAATCTCTTGCAAGTAAATTCATGAGGTATTAAACATAAATTAATCAATGAGAATTTCGTTTCATTATGGAACAAGCTTTAAGTCACATTTCTCGAAAGAGAATCGAAAAACCAGTGTTAAAAGGAATTCTTGACCTTTAATTTTTCAAACTTAAGTGTTTATGTAAATTGAATTAAGGGGAAACAAACAAATATAAAGAGATTATGTGCCAATAAGACTTCGAACGTTTTGGAAATAATTCATACGAATATTAGTGGGTCATAATGATCAACAATTATTTATTACGTTTATAGACGATTATTCCCATTAAGGTTACCTATATCTCATTAATGAGAAATCCCAATCACTGGATTTGTTCAAGGGTTATAAAGCTAAAGTTAAAAATCAACTCGACAAAAGAATAATACACATGAGATCTGACCGTAGTGGTTAATACTATGGCGGTGGATATGACAGATCAAGATAACAACGTCCAGAGCCTTTTGCTAAAATCATAGAGGAATGTGAAATGTCCCACAGT